CACCTGGATAATGATAAATTGTGGTGTTAAGAGTACTACCAGACGACCAGCCCATCGGAATCCAGTATATAATGCACAGAAGACGGATCTGTTATTCTTTCTTCTTCTTGTGCCATATCCATCATTGGGCATCGGTGATCATGTTGGTGATCCTATTTTGTTTAAAAAAATATTTCCAAACACAAACACACAACACATAACACATATAACATAAAAGCTTCTTTAATTACACAGTATGGCAATTGGTTACAATAGTGGTAGTCAACCTGGTCCCTACCGCCCACTAGTGGTTAGAGAGCACTGCTCCAAGTATTTAGAATTGTGGGCGGTACCCAATACTGTTTAATACAGTGGTCACCAACTGGTGGTTCGGGGACCACTAGTGGTCTGTGAGGAAATTTTGGTGGTCCACAGAAAAATTATTTGCATTTTTATATTGCACTAAATACTATTTATCTTTTTAAAAAATTCAGATTAATGGTACGCGGGATTTAAAATTATGAAATTAGTGGTCCCTGAGGTCCGAAAGGGTGGTGACCCCCCCCCCCGGGTTTAATATACCATTGAAATAAGCAAGCATTTAGCTGTGGCATTAAGAGAAGATTAACATGATAAAACCCTGACTTTCTGCTACTAATCCAAAGAGGTAGGATGTATTGTCTAATGTATTGGAATTTGAATTATTTCATTAATAAATTAGGTTTCAGCATGGATTAAATTTACTTTAGAATATTTCTTTATGTCAAAGTCATGACAAGACATAGATTTTCAGTTATCCAAATATTTTGTCTATTTTATTTCAGTGTGACTCCAAGAAAAATGAGATTTAATTTGTTTAGTCATTTTTTAAAGCTTTGCAAGAGGAAATGACTTTCATTAATCAATTAATTAAAAACTCTTGATCAGATAGTTAGCTGATGATGCCACCTAATGGCTAAAAGAGGAGAGCTTTAATAAACACTACAATGTTTGAAATATTTCCCTTCAGTATGTTTCTTGTTCAAAAATCACACAAGCCTATATAATCACAAAGATATTTTAGAAGAATTATTTATCTCAAAAAGATTTATGTTGCTTTCCGGATCAAATTATCCTAAGACAACTTGCTATCAATCCATCACATGCAACAAGTAATACAAGATTAAAGTCTTTATGTGTCTTACTGCCAATAAGGGGTGTTGAGGTAACTAACCAAGATCTTTAAGGCTTGTAATTTTCTAAACTAATCTTCCTCTAACTGGTTCTATTCATGCATGCTACACTTTGATATTTTCCAGCCAAACTTCCCAACATATCTGAAGAGCATCAGTTGAGGAAAACAGATTGAAACAATGGACTTCCTGGAGTAAAGATTCACAATTTGTGATCTGAAGACCTCTGATCAATCTAATTCACTCTTCCCCTCCCTACCCTGAGGGCTCTGCACATTTCTCAAGCAGTTTGGAGCCAGAATTTTTAAAAACTATTCATTTAATTTTTAAATCCTGTAGACATCACTTGATAATGGAGGAATGCCTACAGCTTCCATGTTGTTGATCCTGGCTGATATGATGCCAATAGAAGGTCACAATAATGACAGAGTGCTTCCCATCAGAGAAAAAGTAGGGAAACACTGAACTAAGGCTTAGATTATTTTTAATGTAAAGTAAAATAAAACAGCAGCTGAGAGTCATATTGATTGCAGTGGTGTAAAAGTGTATTTATTTAATTTCTAGGCTACCCAATTTTATTGTGACTCTGGGTGGTATAAAATATAATTAAAATGATCTAGTAGATAATATCCTGGGGGAGGAAGCAATCATAATTTCACAACTCGAGCAACCCACACAAGGGGAGGGTGGGAGACACTACATATTCTAATCCAAGTTCTGGGATAAAAGCCAAACCGAAGGTCTCATTTAAAGTACAGTAAGCTCTAAATGGGAGCTATATGAATCTCTGGAGGATATATTCCAGAGGGCAAGTGCTAAAATAGAGAAGGCACAATAAATAAATAAATAAATAAATAAATAAATAAATAAATAAATAAATAAATAAATAAATAAATAAATAAATAAATAAATAAATAAATAAATAATGCTAATTCATGTCATCAATGAGTCTTGAACATACTATATATGGGGTCAATTTTATCTTTTATGATAGGCTAATTATAGCATTAGCTTGGAATATGGGGGATAAATCTATGATAAATAATTGCATATGTTCTTATCCCACTCACCATACTTTTCTGACTTTACTTATCCTTCTCTTCTTCTAATCTCTATTAATCCAGACAACCTATTTATATAATGTTTTTTTTAAAATCCCTGAAGACAGCAGAATATAGTTAACGAACAAACAGATAATCTAGGTGCGGAAGTATTTTTCTTTCTTGTCTGGGTAGATCTAATTAAACACACTAAAAAAAACCACAGCAGAAGACACTGATGTGATCTCATTGATTTTACATAAACAAGAGTGCAATTAAAGCAGCTTCCCTATCCAACAAATGTCACTTATTGATCATCAGGTGTTGCTTGGAAGGGTGCTTTTGTTCCTTGGTTGGATGCAAACTCTATCCCATAATAGGATCTCAGAAGGAGGTGTGTTCAATTGGCTGTATTCACTGCTGAGAGGGATGGGAGCTGCAGTTTCAAAACTTCAGCTGATTCCAAAAGCTGAAGTTTAGTCACAGGGGCTGTGGGTAATATTTGTATCTAGATGTTTTTATATATCATAGTCTTAATGGGCTTGGTTTTATGCATGTGATGTCAATTATTCCAAGTTTTTATTGATTTACTAAATTTATATAGGACCCATCTCAATGTAAGGCTCTTGGTAGCTCACAATTAAAAACAGCATAAAAAAACAGTACAATGAAAAACCATATAAAATCATATAACAAAATTCATAATGGACAAAATGATCATATCCATCTATAACAGTCAATATAGCCACTCTGACAGCTCTACCATGCTCCTATGTCTGCAGCCCATTGGCAAAGACTTTGCAAAATTCAGGGCTGATCTGATCTTTGGGGGAGGTGGGGTGATGTTCCTCAGAGCAGCTGCTATGACAGAAAAGCCTCTCTTCCTGGGCCACACCAGATGATATTCCCTGATTGACGGGACCCAATGCATGCCCCGCTTGTTGGACCTGTTGGAATAGGTTGATGTGATTGGAAAAAAACCTCAAATAGTATGCTGTATGCATGCAGCCAATTTTGGTTTACTAATAACATAAGATGCTATCATTTTTTTCCTAATGGAATCTCCGTTTTATTCAAAACGTTTCCTTCAGATGTGTCTGTTATACGTGACAAACAAATAGGTATTTACCTGGGAATACTGTAATAAATCACAGTAAATTCAGTGGGATTTGTTTTAGAGTAGACTTGTATTCTCAAAAGGATTTGCAAGGTAATATGTTATTTTAATATCTACTATGATTTAATTTCATAGTACACAATGCACCTTAATCAATTTTCAGAATCATTGTGAAAAGCAAACTACCACTTAACAGATGACTTAGGAATGCATTAAGAACACCAGTTACTGCTACTATATTTATTCTATAGATTTTAGAGTTTTATAGAAATTATAGAATATATGATTTTACAGAATACAAGACTATACTTCTTGACCTTATGGTCTTCTATAAATCTTCTTTTTGCTTATTTCAGTAATGTATAACCTCCCTGTATAATGACTAAATGAATAATACAAACTGAAGCTATCTTTTGATTTTATAAGAAATTTATATTTAGTAGAGATCCTTTATTCATCTATTAAAGATTTTGCAACTGGCCAGCCAAGCTACAGACTGTTACTTTGCAATTGTTATGGCATCAAAATGAAGCCAAAGCCAACTTTATCATAATCATCATTACCATCATAATTTTCACAATTATGAACTTTGGGTCAACTGTATTATGGCAGCTGATTCAAGTCGTGTGATATGATGCACAGACCATCCTTTTGTTTCTCCACCACCACCACAAAGACACTCCCACCCTTTATCACAAATAATTTTGTGTCCTGGGGTTACTATTTTCTTTGTAATTTCATCCAACTTTTGTTAGTGATGTTCAAACAAGCCACCACCACAATGCATTATTTCAAAGAAATAAAATTAAAAAGTACCGCAAGGTATAATAAAAGCATAGCTAATTCATGATACATGCAATGACAAATGGAGCACCTATAATGCACTATAATTTGCTTATATATAATATAATTATATCTGAAACTCCAGAAATTTTTAATTATGCTTCTTTCTGAATTATTCTGCTACCTGAGCATGAAGAAACAAGTCTCTCCAAATGAGCCATAAAGAGGGGTTGAGTTCTAATCCTGTTTCAGGCATAATGGGCCAGTCACTCTCTCTCAGCCCTAGGAAGCAGACAAAGACAAATCACTTCTAAAATATATAAAAATGAGAGAGATTTGAGAAGTGAGTTGTCTGTTACAGAGGTGCAGATGACAAACTCAATAATTCCTCTGTAGAACTGTATCAGCAGCTCCTTGGGCAGTTTGAGCTTCCTGAGTTGGCGCAGACAAAGACAAATCACTTCTAAAATATCTCTCTCGCCTGGTCTCAATATCTAAAACAGGGTTCATTTAGCGGCGCCAGGTAGCTCAATCATGTCTTCCAACCTAAAATGTTACTCAGAGAGGCTCCAACTCGCATTCTGTCGAGCCTTCCCGGAACAGGAAAAGCGCAAGAAGAATTTGCTCGAGTACTAGAAACTTTTAAAACTGCGATGACACTCCCACCGCTAGAGGGCGAGCGACCATCTCTGCGTTCTTTCTCCCTTCTTGGGAATCGAAACTGAACCGCGGGAAGCACCCGCCTCCATCTGTCCCTTTCTTTTCCATTCCTCAGCTTCTCTGGCTAACACGCACGTGCGTGCCACAACAGCCAATGGCGACCGAGTTTGTTGCGTAGAGCCAATCAGCTGTCTCTTAACGTGAAGCACTCGCCTTGCCGGGTGACTATTAGGTTTAATGGCTGCTTGCTGTGCTGCTTGCCGTTCGTGGCTGAGATGGAGGACGAAGTCGGTGGGGAGTGCTGTGATAGCAGCCACCCGCGAAGTAGGCCCTGCGGGTTTTCGGCTGAGGGGGCCCGGCTGCCTTCGCCTTATGCGGCTGAGTTCGACCACAGGTTTTAATAGCTCTCCTGCCACCTCTATAGCGACGACTGTGGATGTTGGAAGCAAGTAAGAAAGAAAGACTGGAAGGCTTATTAAGGAAGGGGGTCTATTTTTTATTCCCAGGAGGAAAATTTGCGCAGGGATGATAAAAATCCCTGGAGAATTTTTCCAAAGCATAGTTAAGTTTTGGAGTATCTCAGGTCGTTCTGACCACGTGCAGGTTGACTTCCTCCATGGACTGTTTATGTTTTTTTTTTTTAATGACTTACGCAGAATTACACCTGGTTGGATTGAAACACAATATATTTCGTCCTGTCACTTTGAAATAGCAACAGCACTTAGATTTTATACCACTTCACAGTGCTTTACAGCCCGCTCTAAGCGGTTTATAGAGTCAGCCTATTGCCCCCAACAATCTGAGTCCTCATTTTACCCACTTCGGAAGGGATGAGCCTGGTGAGATTGGAACTGCAAATTGCAGGCAATCAGCAGAAGTAGCCTGGAGTACTGCGCCACCACAGCTCTTAAATACTCTGTGGCATCCAATATTTTTTGTAGAATTAGATGTTGGATTGAGGTGAACAAATTCTAAGATTAACTAAACATAAATATGTCTATGTTCTTCCTTTTCTAGGAAATTGGAAATATCTTCAGGAAAACTAGCCAGATTTGCTGATGGTTGTGCTGTAGTTAAGGTATTCACTTCACTGTGAAATAATTTTGGTCATACCATTGAGTGGTTTGTGGGCTGGTTTCTCCCCTCAATTTTTACCCTTAAAAATATAATGAAGCCTGTGAATAGAACTAGCATGATTCATCTCTGTTTTTTTGTATGTTTAAATTAAGTTAGGTGATACAACAGTGATGGTGACAGCAGTCAGTAAAACAAAAGCTTCTCAATCTCAGTTCCTGCCTTTGGTGGTATGTATTTCAATAAAAAATTCTAAAGTATTATATGCCAAGCATAATACTACAGATAGTCCTTAACTTACAATCACAATTGAGCCCAAAATTTATGTTGCTAAGTGGGAAACTTATTAAGTGAGTTTTGTCCCATTTTATGACTTTTTTGCCATGGTTGTTAAGTGAAACTGGCTTCCTCATTGACTTTGCTTGTCTTAAGGTCACAAAAGGGAATTACATGACCACTGGAAACTACAACTGTCATAAATATGAACTACTTGTCAAGAATTCAAATGTAAATCATGGGGATGCTGCAAAGGTCATAAGTGTGAAAAATGGTCATAACTCACTTTTTCAGTGCAGCTGTAACTTCAAACAGTCACTAAACAAACTGTTGTAATTCAAGGACTACTTTGTATAACTTTTGGTCATGATGCAGAACATTTGTCAAAATAATAAGATTTTTAGATGCTGTATTGAAAAATATATCATAGTTCTGAATAGACCAGATAAACTGGAATGTTTATTCCGGATTCATTACCTGAAATGTCACCTTGTCTTAAAAATTCAAAACAAAATGCTGTTTCTTACATTAGGTTGACTATCGGCAAAAGGGTGCTGCTGTAGGAAGAATTCCTACCAATTACTTGAGAAGAGAACTGCGTACTACAGATCATGAAATTCTTACAAGCAGATTAATAGGTATGTAGTATAAACCTCAAGTAGTCTTATTTATAAGTCTTGGTTTTCTTTAAAAGACAAATTGTAGAGATAGTTCTGAATTGGATCATATTCAGTTAATTATACCTCTTGTGAAATGGCCATATAAATTTGATCAATAAATGATATTCTGTATTTAATGTAGCATTAGGGCATCTGTTCAAGCTATATATGTTTTAGAACAAGTGCTGATGGATGACTAAATTGTTTTCTACTGTAAGGTTTGGTAGGTGACAGTCAGAACAAACTAATACATTTTGCCTGGCATACTAACTACTACATATCCGAGATAGGTGACGAATTTAATAAATACTGTAATTTGATCACAGTGTCAATGTAAATTTAAAACCACTGATATTTTCATTTAATAAAAAGTTAGTCATGTACTTTCTCTAGATGTTTGGGAGGGAGTCTAGCCATAGAACGAAGAGAAAAAGTCTGGAGGAGAACGAAGAGGAAACTTTATTTCTCTTTTCCTCTTGGGCTCCCTCCAATTCTGTTGTGCCTTTCCTGCCTTCCATGCTAAAAGTACATGTGCTGTTCCTTGGAAGGGAGGTGAAAGAAGTTGGCAATATGTAGCAACAATGGACGTTTGGAAAAAGCAACCCACCCCTCCACCCCCATGATTCTTTGCTGTGACATGAGGCATCTTTGCAAACTATACTAGAAAATCCCTGTTGAGCCTAAGCAAGTGCGTATAGCATACTTGATTTTGGCAGGGAGGATTTTCAGCGTCAGCAGAGAAGCAGCAATAATGTATGGAGCATGGGGTGCCTTTGTGGGGGGGGGGCACAATGTGTGTGCATGCATCTTTGCTCTGACACTGAAAATCCTGCAAAGAGAGTAGAGTAGAGAAACAAGTCATGCACAGCCTGCAGCTACCCTCCCAGAGTCTTCCCCGCTCTCCTGAGGCACCCTGCACTTCTAACGTGGGTCTCCATATGCTTAACAACCCACAAGATAGCTTAACAACCACTGCTGGGATTGAAGCCATTGAGTGAAGCAGTCACATGATATTTTGTTTTAACAACCACTTTGCTTAATGACCAAAATTCTGGTCCCAATTGTGGTTGTAAGTCAAGGACTACCTGTACTAATACCGGTATGTTCTTTATGCCTTTCTGTATCTAATGAAACTGATAATGAGCCTTATTCCATATTTTCTTTTTCCTAAAAACCAATTCTTCTTGAGAATTCTTGGGCTAGTATCTAGAAACAATTTTGTGAATGGAGGAAAATAACCTGATGTTTAATAGGGTCAAAATAGAAGCATCATTCGTAGAAAATTAACACCTTTTTCTTTTAGGTTGGGTTATTTTGGGAGGGAGTGATAGTGGACTCTTGTTAATAGCAGAAATTTATGATATAAATTTGAGGAATTCTTGGGATTGGTCTTATGTTGTTATTGATAGTGCTCATTTTATTTTTGCTATTTTCTTATTACAGAGATAGTACGATGGGTTTTCAGGTATTTTAGATTTCAGATCCCATCAATGTAAACCAGCATATCCAAAGGATTCTGGGAGTTATAGCCCCCAAAATCTTATTTTTATATGGGTGTTTATTTTGTTATTTAACAATAGTCAGCACAAAAAACAATTAAAGAAATAATATGCTATTTTAATAAATGTGATAATTGGCTTTTGAAAATTCATTATTGTAAATATATTATATTTATTAAATTTATATGCTGCTATCTTACCCTCAAGTAACTTAGGAAGCTTAGAACTAGATAAAAATATGAATATGAAACATTAAAATATTAGAATGATAAATCAGTAATAAACCAATTGAAAAAGGTTTTGAAAATCCACCAATAGTTAAAATTTCAAGAAATATCATTGAACAACTATTAGTTTTTTTGTCAACAAGAAATAAACAACCAGCTCCTTATTTTTAAGCGAGGTACCAATAGTCCTTCACTTCTGTGAGCTTAAGCCTAAAATAAGTGAATCTGGCTTCGCCGTTGATTTTGCTTGTCAGAAAGTTGCAAAAGGTCATGCCAGTTGCCAGGTATCCAAATTTTGATCAGTATCCAGAAGGATCCTGAATAATGTCACTTTTTCAGTGCTGTAACTTCAAACAGTCATTAAATGAATGGTTTAAATCAAGGACTACTTGTAGTGGATCATAAAAATAGATGCAACAAACCTATTTCTGGAAAACCTTTGACTAAAATAACATTTGTTTTAATTATAAAAGCCACATTGCAAGATGGTTACCTTTATAGATTATCTGAACATATTTAAATTAATTAATTAATTTTATGGGTTTTTTTAATATAATATCTTCAAATATTATATTTTACAGATCGATCAATTCGACCACTTTTTCCAGCAGGCTACTATTATGATACACAGGTAGGCTACTTCGGTCACTTCTCATTTTCTGTCTAATAGTGCAATAATGGTGTTAAGTAGCTACTTAGTAATGTAGAATCCAATTTGTTTTTCTGTTATAGAACTGCTTTTGTTTCTCGAAGTGTCAAGGAATAACTTCCTTTTGTTCGTTGTGCCCTCAAAAATTTCAGAAATTTAGTGGATTGTTAATGCATTCCCAAACCAACTTCATGAAATTCAAAGGAGCATTTTTCTTATAATGTGATTCCCATTTGATAAAAACATAGGGACTTCAAGAAAATGAAAGAAGAAGAATATGAGTGAAAATATGCAGCATTTTATCCTAGTTTGTTGTGTTTTGGACAGTATCAACCATTGTTCTCTCTAAGGTGCGCGGCCGCGCACCTGGCAAGAAAACACCATGCAGCAATTTCTAACTGCCGTGCAGTGATTTTTGTCACAGGCTCCGGAAGCTGAGGGGCATCAGAAAATCTAGGATTAACATGGGCGTGGGGACGGCGGCAGGAGCTTACGTGGCACAGCCAATCTCTTAGGTCCTCCTAGGCGCCGGCTGCGCCGCTCATTACTGTCAGTCGCCCCGTGTTCAGCAAAGAAAACGCAGGGAAGTCCTTTGCAGGCGGCTAGAACTGGCCAACCGCAAAGGACCTCCTCAGACTTGTTTTGATGAGCACGGAGCAACTGACGGTAGTTTGCACCAGCCTCTCAAACTAGTGTCAGTTGCCCCGTGTTCAGCAAAGCAAGCGCGGGGAGGTCCTTTGTGGGTGGCCAATCCTAGCCATTTGCGCCCGGTGCTGCGGCTGAAGTAAACCACCGCCACCACCGAAATATATGCTGACGCCTCCTCCTCCAACAGCACTGCCGGATTTGCCACCCGACACTGCGGCTGAGGTGAAGCCACCAAAGCTCCCGCCGGCACCCCCGCCCATGGCAGTGGTGCCTCCCCCTCCACGCGGAGCACCTGAACTGGGCCCCGCGTTATCTCTCCTCCGCCGTGCTTTTGAGGCCGTGGGAGCCAGTAGGAAGGCGGCGGAGGCGGCGGGAGCAGGAAAAAAAGGCCTCATGGCTTCTCAAAAGCATGGTGGAGGAGGAGGCGGCGGCGGCAGGGATAACACAGCCCAGCTCAGGTGCTCCACGGGGAGGAGGAGGCACCACCGCCGCTGCCATGGGCGGGAGCGTCAGCGGGAGCTTTGGCGGCTTCACCTCAGTCGCAGCCCCAGGCAGCAAATGTGGTAGTGCTGTTGGAGGAGGAGGAGGTGGCAGCAGTTATTCTGGTGGTGGCGGGGGCTCGTCGGCATCTTCAGTGGCAGCCATGCCCCCAGTGAAAAAACCGAAGATGGAGCAGATCCACGCAGATGACGTTGCTGCAACATGACTGGAGGAGGAATTCTGGGAGTCCACAAGTCTTAAAGCTGTCAGGTTTGAAGACCCCTGGG